CCGCCGCGCCCCGCACTTCCCTTCTGCGTCGCGGCCTTTTTGGTCCCGGCCGCGTTCCCATCCGGGCCCCTTTCCCCGACGCACCCGCCCGCGCGCTTGCCATGGCCTACCCCGGCGAGGACTACGACAACGAGGTGCCGGGGGGCGGGGAGGGCCCGGGGGGCTAGGGCTCGGGCTCGGGACCTCGTGGTGACCCTCCTTCTCTTCGCCCCCTCCACAGGCCTCCTACGACCCCTATACCTACCCCGGCGACTATGACATGCACACGGGTGAGTCCCCGCGCGAGGCCGGGCCGGGCCGGGCCGGGGGGAGCTGAGGCAGGCAGGGCTGATGTGGCGCGGCCCCCGACCCCTTGTCTGTCCGCAGGAGACCCGAAGCAGGACCTGGCGTACGAGCGGCAGTACGAGCAGCAGACCTACCAGGTGATTCCCGAGGTGATCAAGAACTTCATCCAGTACTTCCACAAGACTGTCTCGGACCTCATCGACCAGAAGGTGTACGAGCTGCAGGCCAGCCGCGTCTCCAGCGACCTCATCGACCAGAAGGTCTACGAGATCCAGGACATCTATGAGAACAGGTGCCCCAGGCTGGGCTGGGCTGGGCTGCGCTGCTTGGGAACGCTCCTCCGTCCCACCCCCACACGCAGGGTCCCCCTGTGCTGCTTCAGGCAGTGCTGAGGAGCAGCCCTGACCCAAATCGGGGGTTGGTCTCAAACAGCGGCTCCCAGCCAGGCCGCCACAGCCTCCTGGGACACTGAGATTGTTGAGTGGAGCCACAGGCCCTGTGCCATGTTAGTGCCGTTCATTGCATGCACGTGATTCACAGAATGAATCCGGTAATTTTGGAGAAAAGTCCATAGTGTTACAACCCTTCTGCCCCATTACAGCTTTGAGTTCTGCATCAGAAAAATGGCTCTGTTTTTTTGCCATGGTCAAGCAAGTGGAAGCTTAAGAGCTGGCATTTCTGGAGGGGTGCCATGAGCGAGCCCCAAGGAGGGGGATGTTATGAGTCTAAAAAGGTGGAGGGCTGCTGTTTAAAATCCAGGGTTGTGGCTGGATTTAAGTAGCTGACGAGGATAAGATCCTATCGTTCCAAGTCAGTGGTTCCCAAACTTTGACAGATGGTGCACCCCCAATTTAGAACAATGCAACCATCAGTACCACCAGCAAATCTTTGTCACGTAAAGTAATTATAACAAATCTGTTAACACGTACCACTGACAGGTTGTCTGCGTACCACTGGTGGTACCCGTACCACAGATTGGGAACAGCTGTTCTAAGTCACTTGTTTCCCTCAAGCCAGACAGGTAGCAATTATAGGAAAGTGGCACCAGTTAGCCCACTTGATCAGGTCAGCAGAAATGCCAAGAGTTGAAGAAACCTATGCAGCACTTGCTATCCTTATCCTTTCCAAAAGTGGCTTCTGTAGCTTGTGGCTGAAGTATGCAGGCAAGCAGCGCATGGTATATGTGAGCAACTTACAATTCTTTTCTGGACTCTGAGGATAAAGCTAGCCCAAATTTATTTATGAATCCAAAACAGAAAGGGCTTTAACAAGGCATGGTGTCTAAATTGAAAATGTCTTTTAATTCCCTCCCTCTCTCACTGAGAAATTAATGATACCAGGAGTATAAAAGATACAGCCCATATAGTCCTGTTACACAGCCTGCAATGTTGCCTGTGGGTTTCAAAACTCTGACATGCAGCGTTCACGGGACCATACCTTTTAGGGCTGGATACGGTACACGTAGCATGCTGGATACAGTGCATGGGGCCAGTCTGTGGGCCTGATCTAGCTTGCAGATTGGATCCAAGCCACTCATCTGGCCCACAGGGCCTGATGAGTCTGACACCTCTAAATGTATACAGTCTCTAAATTTAACTATGTGTGATTTATCTTGCAGCTGGACCAAGCTAACAGAGAGGTTTTTTAAAAACAGTCCTTGGCCAGAGGCAGAGGCCATTGCACCACAAGTTGGCAATGGTAGGTATTTTGTTCCTTTTTGTTTCGGTCATTTGAGAAAGAAACAAAGCAACTTCTTCAGGAAGAGGCCTAGTTGAAATTTCTGACCCACTCCATAAGGCCCTAACTTTGATCTGTTGATTGGGGGGGGCCAAAAGTTTGAAGACTAGTACTGTACTTGTATATCCTTTCAAAATCATCTCTGTGGCCATATGATGAAAAATTGGAGGAGAGGGATGTAATCTGACACTTCTGGATCGGCAGGCTACTGTTCCAAGAGTTTTGTAGAGGAGATAAGTTGTTCTTGCTCTTGGCTTGCTCAACTTCTTCCTTTCTGTCTTTTTTTTTTTACATAGAGAAAGTAGAGACTTGCAGTCTCCTTTATTTTGACATCCCCCACATGCTAAACTGGTAGACAGTGACCTTAGTATTTCCTCATACCATATTTTTCCACAGATGTTGTTTATGCTGGTGTTATTATTTTTCTCTCTTCATGTCTCCATTCTTCCTTATTTTCATTCTTTTTTTATCTGTTGATTCAAATTCATTCTCTCCCTACCTGTATAAACTCAACGCTGTACTGCTCAGGGTGAGGGCTGTCTGTAGCTAGAGAGATGTTCTTGTAGTCAGAGTAGATGTACAGAGCTGCTGCTTTCTCACCCTTTGCTTACTGCTGATGCTGTGGCCATCTCTTCAAGTTGCCTGGCAGGAGATTGGACTTGAAAGTAGAGGTGCACTGATACATCAGTCTGATATTGGATTGGCACCGATTATAAAGAAAATGATCTGTCGGAAATTGGCCGTAAGTGGCTGATAATTGGGCTGATAAATGCTCTTACATGTGTGCAGCTGCAGTGCAGCACGTAGGCAGTGAAGACAGTGGCAGTGTGGAGAGCTGCCAGCTGGTAAGTCTGCTGTGGTAGAAGGGGAGGGGGAGGAAGGGATGTTGGGGGGGGAGGACAGATCAAGGCCCCTGCGGTGAGGGAGGGAATGAAGCAGGGGTGGGGCAGGTCTCGTCTTGGGGG